ACCAAACTATTTTATTTCCTTTACCAACACATGCACCTTCTAGGAGTATAAATAAACTGTGTGTATCATGAGCTACATACATTATACAGCGCTGAATTCAGGCAGTAGTATAGGGGTTGCCCATCTCATCCTAGCTGCTCAGCTATTCATAGCAAGCTTTGTATTTTATGAATGAACACAAGGTTTCCTGTGAATGGTTGAGGTGGAGAGGCAGGCTGATAACATTGCAAGCTCCAGCTCAGCCAGCCAATCAGAGCAAGATTTGTATTTATTCATAGAAAAGAAAGCTCTTTGTGAATAGTTGAGCAGTACTGAACCAGACTCAATTTTGTCCTGGCTGTGGGATGGGAAGTTCTCATCTGAATGCTGGAACACAGCAGTTTACTGGATGGAGCTGAGGCTACATACTTTCCATTCAGTGCTGAAAACAGCTGCATGCTTTAGTGAAGTAACTAGCTTGTTTGGCCCAGCCTATTTAAAAGTAAAATTAAACCTGGAGGAGTTTAGCTTTAAAGTCACAATAGAAGAGGCCGTTCTACTCAAAAACACAAATGGTTACTTGTTTAAAAAAAAAAAAAAAAAAAAAAAAAAAAAAAAAAAAGAAGGTCCTCAAGAGGCAAAACACCTAAATCTTAATTTCTAATGGACATTGAGAGGGTTAATCCATAGGTAAATGTATACAGATAATTGAACATAATCAATTTTAGTTCTAGGTGCACCAGTTTCATCTGAATGACTCCCTACCCTGGCTCAGGTATCATTTTATGGTCCATCCAAAAGGCAAAACACAAGTTCTTCCTAAAGGGCGGTAGGCAGAGACTTGTCTGATCCTACTAATAATCACTAGAACTGCAGAAGAAACCTACAGCCACAGCTATAGATATACTGACCCTACAGATAAACAAGCTAGATAGAGCACTACAGTTGGAAGGGACATGAGGTGTTAGACCTAAATTCTGGTACACCTTTACTTTTGATGGTAAAATAACCTTCCAACCCTTATGCCCTCTAAAAAATGCAGTAATACATGGGGTTACAAGTGCATGTCTCTGCTACACATGCACAGCAGGTGAATTGTTCAGTATCTACCAGATGGCAAAAGAACACTTTTCTTAGGTATGCAACCATGCACAAGCAGGGGCTCAGCTGCAAGCAGATCTGTGCCAGTGCAAACTTGGACACTTGGGTCATGGTGATGTACACAAAAGCAATAGTTCCACCTATAGATAATTGTTCCTATGCAGGAACAAATGCTCTGGTAGGAATGCAGTAAAAAAAAAAAAAAATAGCTGTCCATCATTAAAGCAGCTGTATAGTTATTGTAATGGTTGTAAATACAAATGGTCATTAAATCTTTCATCCCCCTCAATCCATACTCCTTACACAAGATTAAAAAGCTCACCCATATAGAATCATGTAAACTTTACAGAATTACTTTAAGCAACGTCCAGCAAGTAAATAAATCACTCAATAGCCATAGTTTAGAAGAATATACCATTCTGAACAGCATTAGTGACCTGGCTTACTAGTGTATGGTAACACAGATTTAGAATCCCCCTTAAAAGGCCAAGTCCACATTTCACTGAAAAAAGTGAATTTAATATATCTTTTCCCAAATTAGTCTGTAAAGTTTTGCAACCACATCCATAGGATCATGGGTACAATGTCAGACTCCTGCATACTCTTCATCCAACTTTTTGAGGTTTGAATTCTTCATTAAAGAGCTGGAAGTGTCAATGGACTAAAAGTGCAGCAGCCACCACACCAATGTTCCATTGAGGACTACAAGTTAGTCTACTGCAGTGGAAGATGGGACTTATAGTTCATTTATTCAGCATCTAATGGCACAACTGTGTCAGAACCCCAAGTGACAGCAGCTATGAGGGAGAAGAACCAAAACACAGTCACAGGAATAGATGGGGGGATGGGTGATGCACCATGTTACATCCTAAATATGACTGTGCAAAAGATTTGATCTTCAACACTCATCCCAAATTACAACTCCCATAATTTTTTTTTTTTCTCAATCTCATCCACTCATATGTGGCTATCATGTTTATACTACTCTGGTCAGCATTTAGTTTAGGATTTAATTAGGTAAAATGTGACTTCACTGAATTTATCAGAGAATCATTCTATTAAAAATTGCATAGCTTAGCTTACTTTATGACCAAGCTTGTGGTCAGACTAAGAAATTTCAACAACCAAGAGAATGAACACATTCCAGGAGTCTAAGTGGATTGGAAAAGTAAAGAAATTGCAAAAATCACCAGAGGCAGAGAGAAGAGGGGGGAACAGAAATAGCTACTTAATGTAATGAAAACAAAATTAAACTTCCCAATTTCATAAGTTTAACACTACAAATGCTAGTGCATAAAGCACCTAAAATACACAGATGTCTGGATATCAAAAGGGTTCATCATTAAATTGCATAAAATAAACAAAAATTTAGTTTCTAAAAAAAAAAAAAAAAAAAAAAAAAAAAAAAAAAAATCTAAAGTTTAGGGAATTGCACAACCAAAGTCATCTATACGCTTTCTATGGTCTAGGCCAGGGGAACCAAAACCTGGTAACAGCAAAATAAATAGAGCAAGCATACATTTTAATTTGTTAAAGACGCAGAATTTCTATGGTTCGCGATATGAAAAAACACAAACATTCTCTGCTACTGTTGACACCTGGATCCACCTATCACTGCTAGGGGACAAAGCTATCATCAAGCAGAGCACACTCAATGTGCCAAGACATGAAGTATCAGATTAGGAAAAAAAATAAAATGAAGAACACACCAACAGGATGTTACCAATAGTAACCATTTCCAAACCCTATCAGTTTTCCTAGCATAAACTAGATGCAGGATAAGAGATTATGGATGCATTAGAGGAGAAAAAAAAAAAGCCCACACACTCACCCAAAATTATATATGGACTTCACTGAAGCAAACACACAATGCCTCTACATTGACAGTAAACCAAGCTCACATTAATCACCTTTAAGGCTATTCAACCACAGAGAAAAACACCACAGTACATTGGTCCAACTACATTTTTGTTTAATTTGGAGAAAATGTCTACTCTGAGTTTACATTTTTCTTGATTAGTGGATTTCCATTTCAGGCTGCATAAGGATATATGCCCCATCACGCGTCCTCCCCTCAGTACTACAAGATAAACTGCATCCCTGGCTATAGGGGGCAGCCCTGAGGTACAAGTATACAAAACCAGAGTTTATAAACCATAAAAAAAAAAATAAATAAAAATAAATAAATGCAGCTTCTGTGCAAATGAGGGCTTATTGATTGCACTGAAAGCTCCAGAAAAGCCCATATTCCTCAGGATAAGACAACATTCCTTACATACACATTCATGCACTCAAGATTAAGTCACTGCTTGGAACACACTATGGTAAATACATAAGACATGACAGTTTACAGATTGTAAAATGTTAATACAGAGAAGAAAATAAAGACTTTGGGTTATTCTAAAATCGCATTAAAAACAAGGAATGATTTATAAAAACTGAAGCAAAAATACAATGCACTATTGCCCTTCACAAAATCAGATTCCATGTCTTATGCCAACTAGGGTTACAGAATGAAAGAAAACATGCGATCGACTGCTAAGTTTAACGGTATAATTTCCCTTCGCTCCAATTTTAGTAAATCAGCACAAAGAACCTAGCAGTAGATCAAGAGGAGTGTAGTTTCTACTAAGCCCACGCATTGCCTACTTTCAGGCTGGGTTAAGGACATTACCAGTCCACTCAACTCAGTGTTAACGAAAATTACAGTTTGAATTGGGCAAGCAGAAAAAAAAAAAAAGAAAAAAAAAAAAAAAAAAAAACATTCAGAAGAGGGGCTCAAGCCTGGTCTGTCAGTGTTGCCGAATGTCAGTGCACACCACCTCTTCCTGCAACACCCACAAGTGAGGGGAGAAGCATACTAACAATTCTCACGCACAGACTGCCAGGAAACATACCTCGTACACAGAGAACTGAGAGTACGTCACTGTAGGCACAGTGAACACAAGACAGAACAGAGAACTAACAATGCAGAATAAAATAAAAGGGAAGAGAGATTGTACCAATACCATTGACAGAAATCATTTCCCCGGCATCAAAAAACAGAATATATACAACTCCAAGAACATTTAATTAAAAAAAAAAAAAAAAATACCAGTTTCATTCAGATAAAACAGAAGTCCTAAAAGGGTTGATCTGGAGACAAGGCAATAAAAATAATAGAAAAAAAGTCCAACATGTGAGGTAAATATGATAAAATGTAGAAAGCTTGGACACAGCAAAAGATGCTGCCTCCCTCCTGCTACTGTCCCCACCACATGAATATTAAAGAGTGGGGTGGATGAGGGCCACAGCATGCAGAACAGGCCAACCCAGAACCAGTCATAGGAGGGACAGAACCCCACAGCATATTACATTGATGCTACATATGACAATAACGGTGATGATTCGGGATGAAGATTTGTAGACAAGTCCCTGGTTATCCCCATCCCACGTAATTCCAAAGTACTAAGTCCCATAGAGGCAGATGTATCCTGAACAGCAGCATGTCTGAGGTTCTGTCCCAGAGCAGGTGAGTTCTGAGAAATATTCCCAGGCCCTGAATGTTCCCTTCCGTGCATTCTTGTGTTGTGTTAACTGGTCCAAGAGTAAGGAGGTTTAATGCCACCTCAAAAACAAGAGAGTGTGCCTTATTGCTTTCACACTCCACAACACAGATACAATCCAAGCCTTTAGCGCTCCCAAATAAAGCGTTTAAGGCAGACAAATTTTTTTTTTTTTAATTCTTTTATTATTCAAGTCCAAGAAACCCCCCCCCCCCCCCAAAAAAAAAACCTAAGTTAGCTTGACCACTTGAGGAGTTTCTTTAGTCAACCACAACCTTTTTTTTCCAATGCTAGTTTCATGGTCCTCCAGGTCTTCACACAGCCTCCTGTGAAATTCTCTCTCGGAGAGAATCAGTTAGGATGCTGTGGTAGGTCTTATGCCACCAGTTCAGCCTTGACATCTGGCTTCCATAGGGAGTCCTCAAAGTCTATCTCCAAGGTGCTTTCTCCACTGGATGTGCTGCTGTCACTGTTGGTCCGACTAGACTTTCTAGTAGGAAGCCCCTGATAGGGAGCCCTGGAGTCTCTCAGTGCCTTTCGTCGCAGTTTCTTTTGATGCATAAGCAACTGCAAACGTTCCACTTTGCAGCGAGTGGCCCTGTTTTCTGTTTGTCGCAAAGGGTCCCCTATACAAGAAAAAAAAAAAAAAAAAAGAACACCAAATGAAATCTGAATGTATACAATGATTTACTAGTGAAATTAAATCACTAGAAGCAACCTAAACATCTGATTATACAATGAATAAGATACTTTAAGACTGAAGAATATTGCCAAAAAAAAGATAAACTAGAAATTTAAAGCAAGAGAAAAAAGGGTACACCATGTTTAATGAAGAGAAAAAGGATCTATAAAAATGATGGCCTTTCAATGAAATAGTTAAGCAGCTTGCGGATTATCAGCTGCACACAGGCCCTGAATATTTTATCATGAAGCTCCCACAGCTTCCTGCTGTATAATGGGATATGCTCACCCCTCCCACACTCAGTCGCTCTTTGTTCTCCAACACAAAACACAGAATGAAACTGGCCAGATGCATGCAGGCCCTCCCCCCTTCCACCCACACCCTCCCTGAAGGGGGTGGGAGGTCCTACTCCTAGGGTCTGTCTAGTAGTTCGCCAACTATGGGAGTTAAAACGTGAGAATGCGCAAGCTGTCTTCCAACACAAGACAGTTTTCCCAGAAACTGCCACCATGTCGTCTAGTTTAACACACTGTACCAGAAAGTATGCAGTCATATCATCCTACTTCTACACCCCCACAATCCCTTGTTGTGAGCATATATTCCTCCACCCTATTGAGCAAACAGATTCTGAACAAGCAGGAAACAAAATTAAAAAGTGGAAATGTATGCATAATAATACCTGCTATGGCTATGTGTAGGTCTTTTTAATCTTTTAGCATTTACGTTGGGGAGGAGACATGGGCTTAATCTGCTAAACACACCTACAGACTATGGATGGGGGTTGCAATGGCATTGTGAAGTCTTTAGTTTGTGAAAAGGCCATTGTCAGGGCCACTCCCTCATGCCCATCTGAAGCCAAGTGAACAAACATAGGCAGGAGCTCCCACCTCCATGCACAAACAAGGTAACACATCAAAGTACTGGTCAAGATACAGGCCTTCCGTTTAGTGTAGTTGTGAGCAACCAGTTTTGGAAGCCAAAAAAAAAAAAAAAAAAAAAATCAGAAGCGGGCCACAAACCTCTTTAGGGCCTTACTACACAGAAAAGACCTGATATTCAAGTAGTACGGTTTCTTCTTTATTGCAAATTGATTGAATTATTAGCTGGGACCCCCTCTGAAATTCTATTAGCAGGTATATTTTTTTTAAATCCCGGTCTTGATAACTGATGAGTTAACTGCAGGGCCATCTGTATACCACCCGATATCCAGTGGATTGTGGAGCACAGAACATTCAGCGTTCTCTTGTTTGTGTTAATTACTTACCAATGGGCTTGTACTGGCGAGCTTGGGGCTTGGAATGTTCTGCAGGGTGACTGGTCTGCTGTGGATTACTTGTTATAGGAGGAGGAGAGGTAGCCTTAGTGGTCTTTGTTTCAGATGCACATTGAGAGTGGCAACGGAGTGCAGTGAGTGAGGGTGGTATGCCCTGGTAGTGGCGGGTGGCGCTTAGCAGGTCATTCAGGATCTGCAAGATTGTACCAATGTCCCTGCGCGCGCCGCCCTGTACTGTCCTGGCAGTGGGGATGCAAAGTGCCTACATAAAACAAAAAGAAAGAATGTAAGTCAAGTGGCTGACAATTACACAAATTGGTACCATCACACAAATATTAGGCCTCTTGCACACGGTACTGATGTTTGAGCATCAGCATTTGTGGACACAATTTCACACATTTGTTTTGTGCGTATTTATGCATGTGCTCGCATTCACATGTATGATACATTCCCATGCAAAACCATTAACATTTATGCTCATGTGGGTGTATTTGCATGCAATACTGACTGGGAATGCAGCTTTTTTTTACTTGCGCATAAACAAGCGCTGTGTATTCTCATGTGTATACAGGCACATTGTAAACAAGCTGCGTTTTAGATCAGGACAAAAAAAAAAACACCACACTGTACTGAGCTTTTTAAACTGTAGTGTGCAAGAAGCTTGAAATCTATATATAAAAACACAACACATCCAAAATCATGGCCAGAATTTCAAACTACAACCAAATCACAGAAACAATCTTACAGTGCTGGGCACTTTTGGTTCATTATAACTAGAGCGCCCCCTGTGTGCAGTTTGACTGTTAGGATTTACTCAAACAGGACCTAGAATACATATACTGGCTTGACTATTGCAGATGCAAGGAAAACATGTTCTGAGCCATCAGTTATTGTGAACCGGGTGAGTAAGTTAACCCTAAATTTAAAACTGTTTGATAGCAGTATGCTGAACAACACAGAACACCACAAATTGCAGGTATTTGCATGGTACAATTCTAGAAAAACAAAAAAATGTGGCTTATACCAAAAAGGATTTAGTATGGACCAAATCTTGGGAACTAGTTGATGGTTGTCTGGCTGCCAACATGATCCAATGGGGCCAGTACCTTGCATCATTAACCAAGAACAAGTGTGCAGGCACAGATTTTCACCACATAAAATCTTCTAGATCCCTCAAGCTTTTATTTATTTGCTGAAAAGTTGTACTGCAACTAAACAAAAAAGCCCTAGGCCTATAAATGTAAAAGTCTATGGTTATTTGTTGTATACAGTTCATAAGTTAAATACAACAAATATGAATCGTATAGTGCAGAAAACAGAGGAATGGTTTGCTCAGATTTAATCAGGATGCACCAATATAGGAATAAAAGGTCTTCCTGCCAGCACAGTCCCAGTTTAAACCATAGTGGGCAGTCCTCTCTGCACGGTCATGTTATTAGGAAGTACTCTTGTGTTCTGTGTCTCTCCAGTGTTTATCAGCAATATGTTGCAGTTCGGTCTCTAGACAAATTGAGTGTTTTGGATGTGAAAGAGTAAGTGCCTTCTTACCCGAAAAGGTCCCTGAGAAGACACCAGGAGCATGGTTGACAAAGCTCTCTATTACGGCCCCAGGCTTTCGTGGTCGACCAGATGGAGAAGGACTAGACGCTTCGCTACTCTGACTATTTCTACTGCATTGTACCTGCTGAATAAAGGCAGAAAAAAAAGATTAAAATAAAACAAAGTCCATACCAGTGTGCTACAGACAGATTAAGCCCTTGGAAGCCATTATCTTGACATGAAACATGAGGAAAAAGGTGAACTCCCAAGTATGCTTACCTCTGTACAGGGTGATACAGTCACACCCTCTCCACGTGAGTGGAAGATACTGTTGGTAAGGGAAGAGGTGTGGGGTGCATTGCAGTGCGTGGATGTAGCTGGTGCTGATACAGAAGGCTGGGAAGAACCCTGTGCACAACCCGCCAGCCTGGAGAAGGCAGGTGCCGCACTTGTATGCAGGGTGCGAAAGTGAGGGGCCGAGCTGTGTTCTGTCCCTCTGGTGAATAAATGTCGATGCTGAAGGTGAGACCCCCCTGCTTGCTGAGGGGCCAGCTGGAGTTGCACAAACATCATGTGATCACCAACACGAAGGGCTAAAGTGAGAGGAGATCGTCCAGACAAGAAGTCATTCACCTAAAAAGAAAGAAAATTGCACATAAATTCAGGTGAACTAACCCTTACATTAGACATCATATTCTATTAAGAGGAGCTCTGAAACCAGACAAATATTTGCAATCTAGTAACCATAAGCTGTATCTACTGATGCAAAGTAAAATGTCCATATTAGATCACTTGGACCATTTTCTACAACATCCACTAGCAAGTAGCTTAAACTCCACTAAAATTAGGTGAACACAAATCACACCGTTGATACGACCCATGTGTATAGCATCAAATTATTATTCAGCAGTATTGGAGAGAAAAATTCACCTAATGAATTCATTCCCCACCCCTGCAGAGCCCTCTTTCTACTCTCCCTTCAGTCACACAATCTAACTCCCTTACATACTAGGGCCAATTTAGGTATGATTCAGTTAACACGCAGATCTGTATTGACAAAACAATCTGTTTCACCAGATGAGCGAGGGACACTGGCAAACAGTCTACATCTAGAAGGTGCTTTATGACAACCTACTGAGCCAGAGCTCACAGAAAACAGGAGCTACACAGAAGCAGTGCACCATCACGACTCAATCATACAAACAGTCATGCATTCAAGCTCCCCTCCCCCACGTCACGACTCTCCCCCAACCATCGCCACCCCCGCATTACTGGACAAAGAGCAGAACATTAACCCTGTGAGAGCTGCAAACAATACAAAACAGGCTGTCTATGACAGGTACAGGATGTACCAGATTATATATATTAAAAAAAAAAAAAAACCCACACACATACACAAATATATGCACACAGCCACTCTCCCAGTTTTATCAGTCTGCTCTCTCTGACTCACCCCCTTCCAGCCCACGCCTGCAGGAACAGCTAAAAATAGCAGAGTCCAGCAGGCAGTCGGGAGAACAAGGCCAAGGGAGGGGGCAGGGGGACTCTCAGGTACAGAAATGGAAGGATTTGTAGGGTGGGAAGATGAAGGGAGGTCCAAAGTGCAAAGACACGTCAAAAGCTTTCATAAAAACGCACCATAAGCATAATGTACTGGAAGACCGATCTAAAACCAAGTAGACACGGAAGCAATCACAAATCATACAATATTCCTAGGCAGTCGGAAGTATGCAGCTTTAAGAAACAAAGTAACAGAACTACACAAGGGAGGGGATAGGAAGAAAAGTCACCACCTCCCAAAAACCATCTGATTAGCAACCAGTTTGTTTCTCTGTAGGAGAGGCACGATCTGCGTCAGAGGGTGCCTGGTGACACCATACCGAATAAACCGACTTCCCCCTCCCCCCACTTTTCTAGCTAGTCACCTGTGACTCCGTCAGACTCTCCAGGGCTTGCATCACAGACTGCTCTGGGCGGGACATCTGGGACTACGGGAAGAAAAGACAGGCTAGTTACCACCAAACATGCCTTTGTCCGAGCACACCTAGCCTACAACACAACTAATCAGTATCCTTACCATGAGCCCCGCTTCAACCGTAGGAAGGAGGGTCAACCTGCTCCCGTCTGAAAGCCCCAGATCCTGAAGTTTTCCAGAGCTCAGCGGCCTGTAGGGAACAGAAAGCTTAGCAATGAGAAACATTCCAGAGGAAATATCACAGGAACACCACCTATTTCGGTAACAGAGGGCGAAACAGTAACACGTCACGTTGGTGGCAATTAACGGGTTATGACTAGGCCACTTTGGGTGGGGAGGTGGGGTGAGAAGTTGTGATGATGTCATCACTGCTAGCGCCTGCCTATGAGCACTTACTGGAAGTGGGGGTAGCTGGGGCCATCCTGGGGAACAGACAGCACGGCATATCCTCTCTACGGAAAAGGAAATGCTTCTTTGTTGAGCTAGAATAATCCAGATTGGGAAAGATCTGAAAAGGCACTGCTGATGGGAAATGTTACGTGTAGATAGGACAGAGCTAGGCTCCACCAGGGCGAGTTATCTGTGTATACAGGGACAATAGAAGAAACCCGGGACAGCTGATGGGAAAGGTTATGTATAGAAAAAAGGACATAACTAGGCTCCTCCAGGGTGAGCGATCTATGTATACAGGGACAATAGAGGAAACCTGGGAAAGCCATGTATAGAAAAGGACATAACTAGGCTCCTCCAGGGTGAGCGATCTATGTATACAGGGACAATAGAGGAAACCTGGGACAGCTGATGGGAAAGGTTATGTATAGAAAGGACAGAGCTAAGCTCCTCCAGAGCCAGCTAGGCTCCTCCAGGGTGAGCTATAGTCCTCCAGGGCCAGTGATCTATGTATACAGGGACAATAAAGGAAACCTGGGAAAGGTTATGTATAGAAGAGGACAGAGCCAGGCTCCTCCAGGGACAGTGATCTATGTATACAGGGACAATAGTGGAAACTTTGGACAGCTGATGGGAAAGGTTACGTGGAGATAGGACAGAGCTAGGCTCCACCAGGGTGAGCTATGGTCACCCAGGGCCAGCTAGGCTCCTCGGCTAGTGATCTGCGCATACAGGGACAATAGAAGAAACCTAGGACAGCTGATGGTAAAGGTTATGTGTAGAAAGGACAGAGATAGGCTCCTCCAGGGCTAATGATCTATGTATACAGGGCCAATAGAAGAAACCTGGGACAGCTCATCGCCCTCTGTGGACAAGGAGATTGCTCTGTATATAAGGGTGAGAGACAGGAAGGAGGCAGCCATGGTGGGTGTTGGAAGACAAAGACCTGTTTCCCCAGGGGTGCAGGACAAAGGAAACCCCACTGAGCCCTGGGGCACACCCCAATAAAGCTTGATCATCTAGGGTCACCCATCAAATCACATAATCCTCTGCCTGCCTCCCACACAAAAATGTACTAAACTGGAGCAGCTGTGCGAGCTCTAACCAATCAGATTCTAGCGTCTACTTGCTCGGCTTCGCGTTGAAAATAAGAGCTAGCAGCTGATTGGCTGCCACGCACGGCTGCTTCTGCCCCAGTCTCCAGCACTTACGTTTCCCGGTGCAGCAAGGTAAGTCGTTCCTTTGGCACCTTCAGTCGTTGAGAAATGCGCCGCTTCAGTCCGTCCACGGTCTCCTCAGCCGGCACGGAAAGTTCATAGCGGGTCCCGGTGGTGCTGTGGACGTGTAAATTCATGAGAGCCTCTCGGTCTCCGTTAATTAAGCCCCGGGCATTAAGCTGTTGCTCCATCCGGGGAACGTTCTCCAGCTCCGCTGAGCTCCGGCGTAAAACTAACACATAAAGTTACACGAGCTCCCTCTCCAGAGCTGCACCGCTCGGCCACGCCTCCTCACCAATCCGACCGCCTCCTCACCTCCCCCACGTGGCGATAACGTGACCCCTCCTTTGTGACGTCTCTCCAATGGACGTTGAACCTTCGAAAAAGAACTCCGTCATGGCCCGCCCCTGCTTCTCTGTGGCCGCGCCCACCCGGCCATTCATAATAAATTGGCTTTATAACAAAGAGACCGGAGGCACGAGAGCTGGTGATACGCCGGGGTCCGGGGAGTCGGAGGAGAACGGTCAGGGGTCTCTTTCACAATGAAAAGGATGGAAGGGCTTCTCAGGGAATGTGTTCATGTGAAAAGTCAGATATGATGATGGTGGTGGTATGGAAAGAGAGCAGCGCTAGCCACCATGTGGAACCTTCCAGAGCCGTGGCTGTTTGCCAGCTCCTCCATGAGGAATGATCCAGTCTAGTAATGGTACCATCCTCCTGATTTGTTCCCATACGTGTTCTGCTTCAAGGCCCATCCAGCCCGTTTCCCATTTGGTGGCCATATATGCATCAGACAATGATCGCAGGCTTTTCTGATCGATCTTTCCTGATTGGAGTAATTGATCTAGAGTAGACAACCTATTCAATCAATAGGGCACACGGGGACGTAGGTTTCAATCGATAGCTGGAAGATCGAATCGTAAATCATTGATCTCATCCCTATTTTGTGCCATGTAATCTTATAACTTGATTGATAAGACGACTGGATCCATGAACAAAGCATTGCGGATTGACGCAAAACAATTGATCATTTTCCACCCTGATGGATGAAATCTGTTTACTCAAAGCTGATCTAAATTGATTGAAAGGGAAGCAGCTATTAGATATTTTTGATTAGATTGTAAGCTCCAAGGATCAGGGCCCTCCTTTCCCTCTTGTATTGTTGCTGTATTGTTATATTGTAAAGCGCTGAGCAAACTGTTGGCGCTATATAAATCCTGTATAATAAAAAGATTGAATCTCATCGATCAGATAATACAATTGAAGTGTGTTTTAGGCTAGGGCTACACAACATTTACAATTACTTATAGCACTGCTGGGTGAATGGACCGTATTTACTCGAATGTTATGTCCACCGTTTCTGGCCAAAAAAGAGGCTCTGAAACTCAGTGTGCGCATTACATTCAAGGGTGCCATACATTCGGAGGCAAATACTGCTAAGCCTCCAACACACCTGGCAGTGCTGCAACCACATCTGGCAATTCTGCACTGGCTGCAGGTGGTATCTCCCACACACCCGGCGATAAGGCTCCTCCAACGGGCCCCCCTCATCTCTCTCCCTCAGAGGCCCCCCTATCTCCTCCAGTGGCCTGCCTCACCCCCTCATCTCCAGCAGCCCCCCCCCCCCCCCATCTTCTCCAGAGCAACCGCCCCCCATCTCCATCCCATAATATTAAGCTGTCCTTCCAAGCTATACTTAAACTTAGCGTTTATTAAAAAGTTTTCAATGTAAAAACTTGTTTTAGGTCAGTATTTGGTTTAGGGCCATGTACACAGGGACGTTTCTGAACGATGGAAACTGACCACTGGAAAACGTAGGTTAAAAAATGTCTGTTTAGCCGCATTTGCGTTTAGAAGTGTTTTTTAAAGATAAGCACAGGAGAACCTCCCAAATGCCCAGAATGCACTGAAAAGTGGGAAATTATTAACTATTTCAGACTGTTTTAGAGAAATACACACAGTAGAAGCAGAGACAGCAGTATGTTTTGAGATAATTAGGTGTGAGTTGCTCATTAACATATCTTTTGTTTCCAAGGGTGGGAAGGTGTTGTCTCCTGGAGGGAGCCATTAAGGCCACCTGGCAAGGGGTCTTCATGACTAATTTGAGGTGTGAATGTGCATGCTTTTGTTTCCAAGGGTGGGTGAATTGGTCATTACGATGTGTGATAAGCTTGGTAGGAACATCCTGTGTTCAGTGTTTTGTCCATCTGAGCACCTTGAAAACTCTTTGCATGCATTTTTCATGATGAAAAAAGGCTCTAGCCAGCATCGGGAACTGGAAGAATTAAAAAAAAAAAAAAATAAAAAAACTTGCAAACGCTTATAAACTTGATTTTACAAGCGTTTTGCATTTGAAACGAACGCTGATAAAATCTACTCTTGAACACAAGTTTGTTGTGTTAAAAAAAAAGACTGTAAACTCAACTGCCTGTAAATGACTGTAAACAACATAATGTACATGGACACATAGGGAAAACATTAGGGTGAGTTTAGGGGATGCTGAAAAAACCACTGAACAGCTCCTAAACATGAGGTTATCAGCTGCAGTGTATATGAGCTCTTAATCGTTTACTATATTGTAATACAAAATGTACCATAACATATGGTGAATTTATTGTTGCTGTCTAAAGTACTGTAATTACCAAAAGTGAAAAATCTTAACATAAGCCCACTGTCACATTTTATTACTGTATTTGCTCTAATTACCAGCAATAAAATGAAAGTCCGTAACTTTAACCCATTGTCATATGCAGGTGCGCACTACAATCGCCATCAAACTTTTTTTTCAATTTCAAGCCTTTCAAAATAGAGGTGGGCATTTGACTCGAGTAAATACGGTATTTATCGTATGATTGGGACTGTATTGTTAAGTGGTGTATTTATGTGCTGCGTCGCAGTACAGAGTGGCATGTACCCCGATTAAATACAACTTGTATAGCATGGTCTATTTATGCAGCGCTTACGTATACTGTACATCAGTCTCTGCCCTCAAGGAGGATACAATTTAAGGTCCCTATCTCACATACATACAACTACTGGGGTCAATTAACCTACCAGCATGTCTGTGGAGCGTATGAGGAATTTTTAGGCCACTTTCATACAAGGCGGACTCCGTTTTGATCAGCAGCGGATCAAAAGCTGATCCCCTACTGAGCAGAGTGGATGACACATCCATGTCTGCTCAGTTTCTGGAGAGTGGACACAGACCGAGCCCACTCTGCTCTATAGGCGGCCAGACGAAAGTAAACTCCACTGTCCATTTACACCCGACTGCCCTCTTATCCACCTAGATGGAGGTAGATGGAAAGCCTTCTGTGCCCTTTTTAATTTTTTAGCGGATCAGATTGGAGGTAGGCAGGTGTAAAAGTCCATTTATACCTGCTGGTCCATAGGGGTGAATAGAGGGTCTGATCACATCTGCCTGAAAAACTGACAGGCAGATCTGATTGGACCATTTGTGTAAAAGGGACCTCCGGCTAAAGCTGATTATAGGTGAATCCTTTTTTCTTTCTTTTTTTTTTTTTTTTTTTTAATCAGCCAGCCACACATTGAGGCTCCATGCACACTAGAGTTTTTTTTAAGAGCCTAGAAACTGGTAATAGATTTTCTTTTTTTTTTTCCTGCTCCTAGAAGCTAAATAGTGTTATCCTATGTGTCCATGCTCATTACTTTAGGCTATTAGGGTTTTTAGTGCTTCAACTTCTACTTGTACTAGGGTAGCTCATTCATTATGCATAAGGCTGCCAACCCACTTCAATGGACAAATGAACAGACATACATTTTTGCCAAGGCATGGTATGGCAGCTATTGTGCTGTGTGCTGGGGCACCATTCGCAGTGAATGGCATTGTAACACAGTACATTGATCTATGTTACTGTAACACGGGTAATAAGAATGTTAATGCACGTTCCTACAACACATAGGTATGAATGGACCTTAGGTTTATAGGGAGCCCATTTGAAGCCTAACTCCAAAAATGTAAAACAAAAAAACACACCCCTTTGCAATACACCAGCATATAAGGGTTAAATGCTTGTTAAATTTAGGGGATGAGAAGCAAGGTGTAATATTTGTAATAGGCCTGGTTCACATCTCCGCATTTCTTGGGGCTGCATTTGCACAGGCACAGTGACCCATCATTTGAATGAGCTGAAATGCCTGTGTTTTCAGCCGAAAAAGGTGCTTGCACCATTTTCAAAACATGTCGCGCAGGGAAATCACAGTCCTTTTTGACCATACCATTTCCATGCGGTTCCTGAAAACGCACTGTGTTTTTACATGCGTGGGGGTGCCATTTAGAATGATGGGCACCCCTGCATGTTTTCTCACAGCAGCATGTTTTTACAGTGGGTGGTTGCGGGTGTGGGAATCGCTGTGATTCCTGCAACCATGCATAGATGTGAACAAGGGCTTACTCCTCACTCGGCAACCTGCCTATATCTGTGCGATCCATCTCCCACAGCCTATTCCATGAGATGCTCTGGGCTGCGGTCATATGATGATGTCATCAATTATAATGCAGAGCCAATAACAGAATCATCCACCAACAAGCATTTAACCCTTGATATTTGTTCCCTGCCAGGGATTTTTGTTATTCCCGGAGATGGCCTTTAAAATGAATGGGCTGCCGGGGAGCAGTACAAACATGCAGCTGAGCCATGGTTTTACCGCCCCATGCCATCCACTTGAATTCTAACAGAGCTTGACAGGGCTGTACACATGCTGTGGCTTGGGGCTGCATAGTGTGACCGGCAGCACTGCCTGTCAAACTCACCCAGTGAGATCAGGGGAGCCACACTGTGACCACCAGTGGTGTATTTAGGTTTCGTGCTGCCCTAGGCAACACAAAAATTGCCCCCCCCCCCCCCCCATCAAGAGAGAAGACTCACTTTCACAACTCCGGACATCCCCAGGAACAAGAGTCAGGCTCTCCATACACCATCAAGCAGCCTCTCTCAGATCCCACCTGGTCCTCATGCTGCGTGTGTCCATTCTTCCATCCCTTTTTTCTGGAGCGGTGCTGCTGCCCCCCCCCCCCCCCCCCCGAAAAATTAAAAATGCCACCTTAGGCAAATGCCTTATGGTAAATACACTTCTGGTGACCACAAGCCAAACGCTTGGCTTGCAGTTCAGCTTTGCAATGTAAAATGAAGAAGGATTAGAACCCCTGTCAGGTTTTATTACTATCTGGGGCTTCATTAGAGAGATTCCCTCACTC